GGAATAAAACTTCACTCTCGAGATATCCTGATCCAGTACAGTGTGCCCCTGTGGATCCTGGGAATAAAACTTCACTCTCGAGATATCCTGATCCAGTACAGTGTGCCCCTGTGGATCCCGGGAATAAAACTTCACTCTCGAGATATCCTGATCCAGTACAGTGTGCCCCTGTGGATCCTAAGAATAAAACTTCACTCTCGCGATATCCTGATCCAGTACAGTGTGCCCCTGTGGATCCCGGGAATAAAACTTCACTCTCGAGATATCTTGATCCAGTACAGTGTGCCCCTGTGGATCCCGGGAATAAAACTTCACTCGAGAGATATCCTGATCCAGTACAGTGTGCCCCTGTGGATCCTGGGAATAAAACTTCACTCGAGAGATATCCTGATCCAGTACAGTGTGCCCCTGTGGATCCCGGGAATAAAACTTCACTCTCGAGATATCCTGATCCAGTACAGTGTGCCCCTGTGGATCCCGGGAATAAAACTTCACTCACGAGATATCCTGATCCAGTACAGTGTGCCCCTGTGGATCCCGGGAATAAAACTTCACTCTCGAGATATCCTGATCCAGTACAGTGTCCCCCTGTGGATCCTGGGAATAAAACTTCACTCTCGAGATATCCTGATCCAGTACAGTGTGCCCCTGTGGATCCCGGGAATAAAACTTCACTCTCGAGATATCCTGATCCAGTACAGTGTGCCCCTGTGGATCCCGGGAATAAAACTTCACTCTCGAGATATCCTGATCCATTACAGTGTGCCCCTGTGGATCCCGGGAATAAAACTTCACTCGAGAGATATCCTGATCCAGTACAGTGTGCCCCTGTGAATCCCGGGAATAAAACTTCACTCGAGAGATATCCTGATCCAGTACAGTGTGCCCCTGTGGATCCCGGGAGAAAAACTTCACTCGAGAGATATCCTGATCCAGTACAGTGTGCCCCTGTGGATCCCGGGAATAAAACTTCACTCGAGAGATATCCTGATCCAGCAAGCAGTGTGCCCCTGTGGATCCTGAATAAAACCTCACCGAGATATCCCTGATCCAGTACAGTGTGCCCCTGTGGATCCCGGAATAAAACTTCACCGAGAGATATCCCCGCATCCAGTACAGTGTGCCCCCTGTGGTCCCGAACAGCCCCCACTCTCGAGATATCCCGATCCAGTACAGTGTGCCCCTGTGAATCCCGGAATAAAACTTCACCTCGAGATATCCTCGATCCAGTACAGTGTGCCCTGTGA